GTTTATTTGACAAGTACAACCCCAGGGTGGATGGAAGGGACGGAGACCACTCCTGAATCTGCAACAAACATCGACAATGATTGTTATGTCACTATTTGTGATGGTATGTGCTATTTTTGTTTTATCGATTTCTTTTAATTTTACCACTGAAGGCATTGGGTTTCTTATGTTTGTTGGTATACAGGGTGAATAATCAGGAGAAAACGTAATTTGATGTTATTGTTACTGAGGTATAAGGTACAGTTAGGAATTGATACTGTTATTGTAGATTCTACAATGAATATAAATAGGAAACAATGGGGCTTTTCGGAACAACTGTTTTAGGCCCGTAATATCCTATCGGATTGCTGATATTGTTAATAATCATTTAAGATCGTTTTCGATTCTTTCCCTCTTTTAAATGGACACTCTGGACGTAAATATAAATCAAGGATTCAATATTCCTGACCACATAAGTTATTCCAAGACCCTTCTTACTCACAGAACCACAGGAATCCACAGAGACCTCCCCCTCCTCAACCCCTCTACCCACCAGTACCCCAATCCCTACCACCAGCCCACCCGCCCCCTCCCCCACCCTCCCATCCACCGAAGCCCCCACCAGCCCCACCCAACACCCGCAACTCCCACAACGGAGTCCACGACCCTCGTCACCTCCACCGAAACGACCACCACGATCCCAGCGGTGGTGACGACCCCCTTCTTGGACCAGCCCATGAAGAACAACCCCGAGAAGTGGGCCAAACATCTCCCGACGCCTGCGAGACACCGACTCAGAAAGCTGTGTTGGGAAACCATGTTCGGTCAAGAGATCATCAAACTCACCGTTATGGATCTGGTGAGGGAGACCGTGGCATTGCGAGGGCTATGTGGCGGTAACTAATGATAGTAATCATCATAATAATGGCGATGATAATAGCTATGCGACTGATAATGATAATGATAACAAGGATCCTTAAGATAATAATGATAGTGATTATAAAGATGACAATGCCGATGCTGATGGCAATAATGATGATGAACATGATAATAATGAATAACATGAAAATAATCATAATACAGACTCCGCCTAGAAAAAAACCCAATGACCTTGTATTTCACTAACTACATTATATTTTTTCTCGGTGGTCGTTCAGGTCGTTACAGTAGTGACCATCGTTATAGGGGACTACATTCGCGCCGTTGTGGTTCGCTTGTTCAACGGCTGCTGCTGCTGGGACCTCGAGAAGAAGTTCCCAGGGTATCCGGACTTCAAGATAGCGGAAAATATTCTTCATCTTGTTAATAACCAGGGGATGATTTGGTGAGGTTTAAAAGAAAGGGAATGTCTTATTTGATTGTTTATTATTTTGTATTTCTGCTCAGTTACTGTGCGATGGGGTATGGAATCATTCTATATTAGATACAGTATGTTTGATTTATTTACTGTGGGATACAAATAAGAATTCGATGCATATCGGATAGAATACGTGTCAAATACGTTTCGATTTGATGCTAATGATGATGATGATGTTGAGGACGATGATGATGACTATAATGACGATGACGAAGGTAATAATATCTATATAACATCACACTTTTTCCAGGATGGGTATGTTCTTCTCGCCCGGGCTGCCGGCTCTCAACACCCTCAAGCTCGTGATCGTGCTGTACGTGCGTTCGTGGGCCGTCGTCACCTCCAACGTCCCTCCCGAAACGGTCTTCAAAGCCTCCAATAATAATAACTTCTACCTGCTGTTCCTGCTGACGATGCTCTTCCTCTGCACGCTTCCTGTTGGGTATGGAGTCGGCTGCGTTTAGATGTTTGTTTGAGGGCATTTTATTTTTTGTTTTGTTTTGTTCGAGTTGCGGTTATGAATAAAGAGAGAGGGAGGGGTTTTAGGCTTGTGATAGAGGGCAAGGACTTTTATACCGACAAGACAAGCAACGCACTTTCCTTCTCTTCGCATTATGTCAGCACTGACGAACCCAACCCCGCCACCTCCCCCAGGTACGCCGTGGTGTGGCTCGAGCCGTCTTGGCACTGCGGTCCCTTCAGCGACTTCCCCAGGATGTACAAGCTGGCGACCTACACGCTCATCGGCGGCTTGCCTTCCTCGCTGTACCCTGTGGTGGACTACATCTCTTCCCCGGGCGTCGTCATCCCCGCCGGCCTCCTCCTCGTCCTCATCATCTACTACCTTCTCTCCCTGACGGCGGCCCTGAGGGAGGCCAACTGCGATCTCAGGGTGAGTTTCGGCGGGGTTTCCTGCCTATGGCTTCGTATGGCTTAGACCTGTTTCGAATATTTTCCTGGAAATGAAGGGATTCGGACGATGGGTCAAGGAGAAAATGGAAATTGGCTTCGTATGGCTTAGACCTGCTTCGAGTATTTTTTGGGGGAAATGAAGGGATTCGGACGATGGGTCAAGAAGAGAGTGAAAAATGTCTTAAAACACTTACTGGTTTACAGGATCAGCTGAGGCAAGAGAGGTCAGCGGAGAAGAGGAAGGCCTTGGACGCGCGGACGGGGAAGGGCCGCTCGGAGACGCCCACCACCAGGTCAGGGAGTTCTGGGATATTTTTCTTATATGAAAATGTTGGCGTTGAAGTTGGAAATATATCTTATACATCTTGGCATATCCTTCTTCTCTTTCTTTCGATCCCTCCCTCTCTCTCTTTTTCTCTTTCCCTTTATATACTATGTATGTATATATACTGTACAAGGACACCCACACCACACGCGCGCGCGCGCATGTATTTGTGTGTGTATATATATATATGTATATATATATATAAATATATATATATATATATATATATATATATATGTCTATACATATATATATATATATATATATATATTATATATATATATATATATATATATATATATATATATATATATATATATATATATGTATATATATGTATATTTGCAAACATACAGAAGAGAGAGAAAAAATCACTCCTGATTGGCCCTTCCCCAGGTGGGGCCGAGTGGTGCCCCTGACTCCAATGCCACGCCAGCGGCTGGACGGCACAAGCGGCCCAGACAAAACAGCTGTCACTAAACCCTCAGCGGGTGAGTGAATTCTTACAAGCCCAGTCCGTTTCAGCAAAATGGCCTCTTACTAATACTGATATATATATGATTACAGACACATTAATCATGACAATAAACATTTTCGTGATTACGAGAACAGCAATGATGCATTTACCTCGCTGCGTCTGTGCCAATGTTCCTACTCCATCTGATACTCCTTTAGCAGAGCCGGACGGCCCTCCCGCGCTGCCCCCGGCGGAGACCCCGCGGGGGAAGGACGAGGGCCCCTGGCCGGACGACGTGACCGATCTCGGCCATTCGGAAGTGTTCGACGACTCCCTCTCCGACTCCCGAAAGCAGGGGAAGGACACGCCGGTAAAGGAGAAGCCCGTCGAGCCGAAACATGAACACAAAAGACACGAGAAGGAAAAGGACAAGATGCTGGAGAGGGATTACGAGTCCGCCCCGAGGAGCCCTTACTCGAGGTCCAAACACAGGCACAACTCTTATCCTCAGGGAGCCAGAGACGAGGACAAGGCCAGAGTCCGAAGGGAGAACCACCGGGCAGCGCCGGGGCAGAGCAGATCCTCCAGGAAGTCCCAAGAGAGAAAGCACTCGGACGAGTCGAGCCACCGGGAGTCACCCACCAAAGCCAAGTCCGGCTACAGACACGGCATCGTCGACTCTCCTCGGAGCAGGAGGAGGAAGGGGTCCAGTGGCCAGGCAGGCAAGCTGAAGGATAAGATGCCCGAAGAGTGCATGCATGAGCTGAACGAAGTCATTCACCAAAAGGACATGAAAAAGAAAAAGTCACCCAAACCCTCAGAAAAGGTCGACCACCATCAGACGTCTGTTGAAACGGAGGCGGCATCCCGGGCCGGCCCCCAGAGCCGCCACCGACGCGAACCTTCGATCTTCAAGATGGACGACATCCGCAGAAACTCGAACGAGAAGGCGAAGAACGGGACACAGGCCGGCCAGCGTCGGAGCAGCTCGGACGACTCCCAGAGCATGCAGTCGATACCAGTAATCAAGGTAAAGATGACGTCATCGCTAAATATGTTTTACTCACTTGTGATGACTTGGGTGCTAAGGTGATTTCACATTTCTTTACTAGCTTCAAATAAATTATCGTTTGGTCTGATATTAAACTGTTCTGCAGTTTCCTTAGGTATTTGTCACTGTGATTTAAACTGAATGGAGCGTTTCGTAATCTGATAAGACTTCAAAGATAATCTTTCGACCTCCGATCTGTCCCGCAGATCAGCAAAGAAGACAGCGTGGAAAGGTCGCTCCAGCAAGCCCGTCTGGAACGCCAGGCTAAGACTATGGAAGAAGACAGCGACTCAGCTAGCCAGCCTCTCACGGGCACAGTTGTCCCCAAGCCCGCGGAAAGGAAGTCGAAGCCAAAGCCCATAGAAACCGATCTGGACGCGGCCCTTGCTGATCCTGGCACCACGTGTGACACAGCGGCCTTGCTCGAGGGACACTCGGAGGTGACGCCAGACACGCCGGGGAAGGACTCGAAGGCTAAGGACGAGGTGGAGCCAGCTGATCCGATCAGTTCTGACGACGAAGCCACACTCTTGGACAACAATTGATTTGATAGTTATATCATGGTCGTTGTAAAAAAAAGCACTTATTTTTTATCATGCACAGACACTCATCAATCTCTTGCATTATACGCGCGAATATACAATACACCTCCACATATACATGTACACGCTCACATAAAAAAATACTGACAGAGATAAAGTTATAGAGTGGTACTCAGACACAGCTACATACATACAGAAAAGGAACAGAGACATACTGAGAAGTATATAGACACACAGAGTGGTACTTAGACATATAGAGAGGGGCACACAAACACAACGAGGGGTATATAGACAAACACACAAAGTGGTACACAGAGGTACACAGACACAAATAGGGGTACAAAGAAATAGACACAAACAAACAGAGGTAGACAGACACATACACAGACGTACAAATGCAGAGACAGGTAGGTACACAGACGCATAGAGGGGTACACAGACACAGAAATATAGACAAACGAATGCAAACATACAAGTGGGTAGACTGACAGACACACAGAGATAGATAAACACATATATTCTCTTTCTATCTCTTTACTTACCTACCTGCCTCTACAATAAAGGAACGGCAGAAGCACTCAGAGATACTATATCATAAAATATCCACAATGCATAATATATTGTACTATTACTGTTTCGATAAGGTTGCGAATAGAAAACATGACTATTTTGAACATCACTAACTTGGAACTTAAATTTTTCATCATGTAGCATTATGTAAAGGCACATTTGAAGAAAGTAGTGTAATTTGTATGGACAATTAGGCGATATTTCACTGCCTAGTTTGTATCATCAGGTATTACCAGATTTGCATTGGAAACGCCTGCTTTATGATCCAAAATACACTTTGCAGTCAAGGTGTTCCAAAATATATTATGTTTCAACCAACAATTGGGAAACACCGAAGGATATTTTTCGTGTAAATGTCATTACCATATATTAGTTAAAATATTGATTTGCTTCCTGTGGAACGGCAGCTGACCAATCTGCATTTAACATAAATGTTTAGGGTAATGTTCTTAAGTGAACTCTTGACTTTTTTCAGATTCTTTTTGGTAAGTATAAAAAACTAAACTGTTACCAGAATCCCAGAATAAATATAGTTGTAATTTGTCATTGCGTTCCTTCCTACACATTTAAAAGAGTCCATACAAGTCCATTTATGGACTGTGCGGGCTCTCCTTTATTCGAAATAATATGTGGAAACTGTTTCTTTTTCCATAAAGTCTCATAATATATCAGGTAACTGAATATTGTAATCTCGTATTAAGTTACTGAAGTTCACAGGGCCGTACTTTAAAACTCTACCGCCAACGTTGGTGCTGTCGTTCAAGTGGCGGTGGACCCAACACCCTTGCTTCGAAACTGGAAACCGAAATTGGAAACTGAGTGGCGGTGGAGCGGCAGCAGGAATGTGATTCTCACGAAGGCGTTCGATAGTTTCCTTTTTTACTGTTACTCAACGAATATCTATTTCCGAATAGGTGCAACGACACAGAAAAATTGAATAGCATCTGTATGAATATTTAGTAACTTTTAAAATCGAAATATTTTGAGAAGAATTTACTGCTTATACTGGAATCTATCCCAACACTTCTCACCTCAGTTGGGTCCCCTTATTTCACCGTCATTTCTTTAAAAAATGGTGAACATGAAGCAACTGCGTTTTGCACAATTTTTAATACGCATTACATGGTATTAAACATGATGATAACATGTAACAAATTTTTGCCATTTATATATATATATATATATATATATATATATATATATATATATATATATATATGTATGTAGGTAGGTATGTATGTATGTATATGTACACCTATATCTATCAATCTGTCTGTCTCTGTGTGTGTGTATGTGTGGACATACACAGCTTTGATATTATTTTCATTATTCATGTGTTCCTTTCTTATTAATTTGAGGTGAATGGCTACAGGTGGATTGCAATTGAAATTAGCACTCTTGAATGAACTCATGAGTTTGTCAATAAATGTGTCAAAGAAATATTACTGTTAGATGCAAGCACTTTCCAACGATATGTCTGCTTCCTGATAGCAGAGCCATTCAAACAATCTGTCAAAAATGTCAGGGTATTACTCATTTTCCTGGTATGACAGGAGAAATTGGTATTGTAAAGACATAATGTGCATGTGGTCTTATTCTAGAATTATAATATGTGGTGCTTGTCCATGACCTCCGTAAAACAACAGATTTTTGCCAAACATTGACTGCTGCATAGAATTAGAGCGCAGAGTACGAAGAATATTTGCTTGAAATCTCATTTCTAATGTAAACAACCTTTTTAGAGGCTCTGAACTAAGATATGACACAATTAAAAAACTCTGTATATCTTTCGCCCTCATATCTCATTTCTAATGTAAACAACCTTTTTAGAGGCTCTGAACTAAGATATGACACAATTCTATCAAGAAACATGTTTAAGAGAGGGCATTTGGTATGTGCCAGAAAAGATTGATTTGTGACAATTTTCACATAAACATGGTCATTAACAATGGGTTATTATTCTTGCAAATGAACATGTAGATAGGAAGGGAAAGGAAAATAAATGGTAAATTAGGCAGGTGGATTAAGGGGAAACAAGCAGATTATAAGCAGATATTATGCATATATGCCTGCTTGTATATGTTAGAGAGATTATGAATATATGTGATAGTATTAAGGTGTATGTGCATGTGAGTGAATGATTGTTGTGGTTAGTCAATAATATTTTTATAAGATTAGCAGTGCGTTAAGATATTATTAATTTGTATTTTAAGTGATAACCTAGCTGGATAAGTCAATAAGCATCAAATTTTGCACCACTTTCATGATTTGTTAATACTTTTCGTGGCGATTTTCTAGATAGAGTGA